CAGTCAGTCCGTCAGTCAATCAGTCAGCCAGCCCCTTAGCCAGCCAGTCAGTGAGGTAGTTTGCTGGTTGGCTGGTTGATTAGTTGGCTGGTTGGCTGGCTAGTTCCCTAAGGGTCCAAGTACCTAATAATCATATACTCTCCCCAATATTAACCTAGATAGCTACTATCCGCAACCAAAGTCGCTTATTATTGAGTCCTTTGGACCCTTAGGGGTTTGTTTGCTTGTTGAACAGACGTTGTGACTATGAAGTCCTTGTCAAGCTTAGCGTCCCCAAACGCTTGATCCGGAACCCTCAACCCCGAAGCCACAGCCCTTAAAACCGCACCCAAAACCCGAAAACCTAACCTCCACAACCAGTCTACAAAGCCCTTAATTATAGAAAGCCTACTCTAGTTCCTTATAGCCCTCCTAAACCCCCAAACCCTCTCAACCCCCAAACCTTAAACCCTAAACCCCCCAACACCCTAATTCGGGTCTAGGGTTTAGGGTTGCCTACCAAGCCTTGACAGGTGCGCTTCCCTGGGCAGCAGGAAGTCGGTGGCAAAGCGGTGAAGGCGGTCCTCCTTCTTTTGGGGCTTCGGGTTTAGGGGTTTAGGGTTTTAGGGTTTAGGGTTGAGGGATTAGGGTTTATGGTTTAGGGTTTAGGGCTCAGGGTTTAGGGTTTAGGCCTTCTTTTAGGGCATAGGGGCTCCTTTCCGTTCCTTTGCGGATTGTAGACTGCAGGGGCCTGAATAATTAGAATAGGGTTTTGGGCCCTTTTACAGTATTACTATAATGAGGAACCCTAGGGAATGATATTGGTAATTATTTAGCTTCTATATTACGAGATTTAGGCTTTAGGGTTCGGTGCTTCTCCTTGCTCTCAGTTTTACAGCTTAGCGGCGCCGTTCAACTTTTCGGGTATTATGAGTTCTGTAAGAGATGTAGTGTTTGGGGTTGAGGGTTATTTCAAATTAATTCATACGAGCCGTGCTTTGTGCCAAGAAATCTAAACCATCAAAACAGAAAATCCGAAACCCTAATCCTTGAGCCCGAAACCCGGAACCCGCACAGCCGTTAATGCCCCGAAAAACAAGATGTCTCTTTTCAGAAGCCTAAACCCCAAGCCCCAAAAGCCCAAAACGCCTTCACCGCCCCAAGAGCCCTAAAAGCTCTACAAGCCCCAAACAAGCCCGAAAAACACAACCAGACTCTAAACCCTGAAGACCAAAAAACTTCTAAACGCCCGAAGAACCCAAAGAGACGCTAAACAATGTGCACCAAAAAGCCAGAGAAGCCTTAAACTCCCCTAAGGACTTTTAACCAAGGGTTTAGGGTTTAGGGTTTTAAGGTTTAGGGTTTAGGGTTTAGGGTAAAGTCTTTTAGCCCTAAGCCATACAGGCTCTAAACGTCAACCCTAAAATCCTTAAACCCCAAAACCATCGACCATCAACCCTAAGCCCAAAACCCCCCAAACCCCTTAAACCTAAAACCCAAAGGCTTAAATCCCTAAGCCTTAAGCCGCAAACCCCTAAGCCCTAAACCCCAAAAGCCCTAAAAACCCTTCCCTAAGGCCCAAAGTAGCCCAAAAACCCCATATGGCATGGTCTTTGGGCCCAACAGCGAATATGAGTCCTTAGAGTCTTATGTGTTAACCCTAAACCCCTAAACCCTTAGCCCTAAACCACAAGAGCCATAAAAACCCTACACCCTAAACCCTGTTTGAACCATGTTTGAACCCGGTTTGAACCCTACCTGAGCCCTTTTTTGAACCCTGTTCGAACCCTAAACCCTAGGCCCTAAACCCTTCGCCCTAAAGCCTAAACCCTAAACCCTGTTTGAACCCCATTTGAACCCACTTTTGAACCCTAGTTGAACCCCAGCTGAACCCTAAACCCTAAACCCTAAACCCCTGTTTGTCCCCAGCGCAGGGCATCGCCTTCGTCGTTTTCGACTCGGCGATGGCGGCCCGTCGGGCCGTGGGTCTCTCCGGGGAGATGTTCAAGGCCTCTTAGGGCGTATTTGGGGTTTTTTTTTTTTTTTTTTT